ATAACATAATAATTGTTACATTTCCAAATACTGAAGTCTTGTTTGAACAAAAGATTTCTTTTCAAACTTGTTAAGAGATATATCACAGCTTTTCTTTAACAGGAAACTAATAAAAGAATCAATATACAACAAAAACAATAAAACAGTTCGTACATGAATAAGATTTATAAGAATCTTCTTTGATGTCTCTTATTCTATGTCTCTTCTTCATCCATGTAATTATTTAATAAATATGTTTAAACAAACTGAAGTCTTTGCACGTCAGCATGAAAGACTTCTATACTATACTTTTAGTACTGGACATGATACTGTTGTCTGTATTAGTTACTGACCACAACCAGAACAGCAAGTCAAATGCTATGTTCGGTGGAATGTACACTTATTAGTACATAAAGTTTTACTCCTAGCATTACCAGAGACATATAACAAGTGACATTAGAAACAAATATTTTCAAATAATTTTGTGAATTCTTGATATCAATTCTGACATGTTAATTTCTAATAAGACAGAGACAAAGACAAATGAATTTTGTATATATACAGACATAAACACTGACATACTAGTCTTATACATGAAGGGGTCAACCACTTAATATTCCTGGGATTAAGGGGAATTTTTGTCAGTGTAATGCCACTGGTCTGAAACAATACGTTTCACTGAAAGAATATGAAAAAATGTAATTTTTGCGACTTCTGCATGTCAAACCTCCTGCAGCAAACAGGGCTTTTTAAAAGACACCCCCACCCCATCCCCTTCTCCCCTGAAATACCAACTGGTTTCCCTAACAAATTTCACAGCAACTGACACGTTTAATGACAAAAACAATCTTTATCGAATACAAGCATATAAACAGAATATACATGGGAACAAAACACATTACATGTATCTCCACATTATATTATATTATATATAATATATGTATATATATAAACACTAAGAGAAATATATCATAACACCAGGATAGAACAAATGTTTAATTAGGGCTGTGTTATACACAGATATACATATAGATATCAGAATATAATAGATTATTATATAGGTAGTATTTTTCCTGTACCACGATTGGTCAAAATATACCGTCACATGATTGACTACAAAACACGATATAGACTTGAGTTTTCTGATAAATTACGATATTGACTTGGGTTACTAAAATAGACAAGGAATCCCGTAAGAAGGGCTTCCCCTGCTTTTCAGCCAATCAGATCACTCGGATAGATGGCACATTGTGTGCATTAAAAGTTTATGTTAAAACCCATTTCTCTTTCATTATATAATAAAACAATTATAGACTCTTGTAGAGGTCGATATTGGTTTTATTGACCTGAGAAAACAACCTTGCAGGCTAGGTCGATATTGTTTTTCTCAGGTCAATAAAAAACGATATCGACCTCTACAAGAGTCTATAATTGTATAATATCATCTTCAAAACACTAATAAAGAAATTCACAATGAGACATCAGGAAATATTTCAAATTCAGAGAAAAGATAAAATTGTTATTTTCATTAAAGTAAATAAACCCTGTCAAGTAAAGGGCTATCCGGGTGTGCAGGAAAAGGATGGAATAAACATTTTAGGAGAAATGCACTTTATTGGGCACACTTGTTTGGATTTCAATTTGCCTGTCATGGAGGACCAAACTCACATTGCCACCATGGACCTATGCTTGGCAATTGAGTTCATCTCTTTAGATACCATGGGGCCACAGGTGCTATCACACATAATTAGTGCAAATAATTAGTGCTCATCTACATATACACAATGCATTTTAGAAAGTGTTCAAATGCTAGAAAAATTCTAGAATCTGTACTTTACTGAGAAAGTGTAATCCCCAATTACTTGCAATTAACATCATCTGCACCTGAGTGTTTATGGTTACGTGCATGCACCCTAAAACAAAATTATATGAGTTATGAGTGATAGCTAACCCACAGCCTATCTCACATTATTGGGTGTTTGATTGGCAAGTGGTGCCCAACCCCATTGATTGTAAAGGAGTGCTTGATAGGAAAGAGTATCAAGGCCTAAAAAGAGGGTTGGGCGTAACCTACCTTCACCCTTATCCCAACACAAACGTCACTGAGGAGACATCTGTGAAGTGAGAACCACAGCAGTCAGTCTGGGCATATTTGAGCTAACAGATTCAGCTTCACCCTGATAAACTGCTTGAACTTGCCAGTTTATATAACAAAAAATACCCCTAAAGTATAGAATAGAATTGTACTACCATTCTATGGTCATATTATAATCCAGGTCATCTGACTGCAATGAATTGATTCTAAATGTCATTTTCATAACATCCTCACTTCTACAAGTTCAAGCACTTAAGTTGAAATCCCTAAGAAATTGTTAAAACAATACTTTTTCACAATTCAAATATTTCACGCCAAGACCTACTTTGTTGACATAAATATGTACAGCTTGCTGGGGCAAACATACATATTGTCAACCATGCAGGATATAATGAATACCTGGTAAGTGGTCAGTGTCAATATCTTCCCCTGAGTCTAAAGTAATATCTTTCACTTACAGCACTTTAAATAATGAGAGGCAACCAACCCTCCTCTACTTTATCTTGCAAGGTACAATCAGTTGGTACAATCAAGTTGTATTTCAGTCTTGTATTGTCATGTCATGTAGGGATGATGGCCCAATCAGGCTACAAGTTACATGGTAACCAGTACCCTTGCTATTTGGGTTATTATAGGGTTGTTGTTTAACGCCACACTCAGTAATGTTCATTACATGACAATTGCTTATGAACAGTGAATGAGTTTAGTTTGACACTGTTTTTCACAACATTCCAGCTATACTATAGTGGGACACCAGAAATGGCCTTCACACATTATACCTGGAGTCTTTGTCATGATGAGCGGACAATTTAACGACTAGACTACCCTATCGCCTCTAATATGAACATATTCTGTACTTTGATTGAGCATGTTCCAATACTGACCCATTCATAAAAGATGTTCGTGACAGAAATATTTTGTGTGCAGCCAATGATGTCATATGAAAGTCACTTCTGATACCAACTGGTGCTAATGGGTATCAAGATACAGGAAAAGAGGAACATGAATTTCCCTGTCTTTGTCTGGAGACATATAAACCAGTGTATCCTATAAAAGAATGCAAGCAAACAACACTTACTGCAAATCAAATTTTACCATGAGATCTACCTACTATTTCAAACATAATTTCGTTAATTCAATCAATGTATGTATCTGTATGCTTGTGGCGTGTATGCATGCGTGCGTCTGCATTTATCATTACATACAGATATACATAATGCATGATGACTGTTGTGTGGCTGTAACAGAGATGGTAACATGATAACAACAAGTTTGAGCAAATATAATATTTGAGGAAGGGACTAAATATGATACAAAATAATAATATGCTTACATATAAAACCTCTTTTGAAATCCTTGTCAGATCTTTCTAATTCTTCAGTAGAATGTGCATGGTAGACACAAAATTAACCATTCAGAATAGAAGGATATCAACAAATTATGGCCAACATAAAGATTCTGCAACAGATAGCTCGCAAGCATAGATCATTTGAAAAAGTAGTTGTCCTCAATAAGACTTCATGTTTTGTACACTTCTAATACGTCAACATTATTAAAATCATTTTCGTGTTTAGTTTGTAAAAAGCCTTATATCGAGGATGAATATCAGTTTATTTGTATTTGTAGCATCTATGAACAAATTAGAACCAAATTTATACCTGAAAAATACAAATTATGAATCTATTCTGATCAATTTAGCTATCTATATGTACAAAGCAATGCTTGTCAGACAAAATATCCTCATTGTATGAAATGTTAATGTTTCTCATGTATGTAATAGTAATATGGGCCTAAAGGTCCCCACTTCAGAAATAAACTTGACTTGAACTAAAATCATTTTATGGAACAGGCATGACATAGAACAATCACATCTAAATATTATAAATATAACAAAAGATAAATCAATGATTTAAAAGATCTGGACGGAACAACATGTCAACATTTTGACATAATCAGTATCTCTAGCCTTAAAAATATGTGCATAAAATAAAAAGCAGGTCAGACACAACTTTCCATAATTCATATTTGATGCTGTGACTGATTTTTTAAATTTATTCTGCCTGAGGATCAACATCCTATTCCATCAGAGAATGATGTCAGACTGTCCCTCAAGCTACCATGTCTGACCTTCAGATCCATTCAGTCAATAGCAGTAATGGTTGTTTTACAATATGTGCTTGTAAAGTTCCATGAAAAAATATTACATGTTTTTTTAGTGATGTTCTGCAAAATTAAACCCACATTTATACTTGTTATTGCCTCAGAAATCTGTGAATAGCTAAAGACACTTGCCTGATAAGTAACAATTATTTAACAAGAGACAAGCACTTGCTTGAATTATATACAAAGTTTCACAAAGTACTGCTCATCAGCATTTTGTCATAAAACCCCCAAATGCCAAACTTGCTGACTTCAGCACATGTGTGACAGGTTTACAAATATTAAGAAAAGAATGAAACGATTAATGAGCTATGCTCTCTAAACAAAGCGTGCTGGAAAAGGCATGTTTGGACAAAAGGGATAATATGTACAGTTTCTTTTAAACCTATCAGCCTCAAGAATCATGAAGAACAATGCACAAAGGTTCACAGCAACCAATGCATTCATAGCGTGTTGTAACCTTTCTAAAACAGCAGCATTTGTCAACTAATATTTAACCATCTTGGATGAAAACAAGTACAAGAGAGAAGACAAGTACAGTAATTTAATATTAGGAAGAAGAGATTCCATAAAAGCTCCCAAATTTCAATCATTGTTTCATACATTGTTCCTTTACAAAAATACATTTGATGAAAACAAAATATTCCCCTGTGATCATGTTAAATTATTCTGACACAGTCCAACCTCTCAGTCATCATCACTGTCTCTCCTGCTGCATTCATTGTTTGTGCAGCTGATTCTTCTCTTGCTTCTTTTGTAGATTTCCTTTTCTTCCTTCTCTTCTTCTTCTTCTTTGGTTCTTCAACATTTAGAGGCTCTAGGAGAACCTTTGGGTTAACACTGTCACTGTCACTGGCAGGGTCTGATGTGGGGCTGGGTAGAGGTCTAGCGGAAGTGGAGTTTAGGGGGACTGGTTTTCTTGGGAGGCCATGGCAGCAGGTATTGGTGCTGGAGGACTTTGACGACTGTTAGAAAGATGTTGTAAACAAAACGATGACATCTCAACTCATTCCAGCTAATAAGCAAATGCCATAATCTAAGAGATGTTCAATGTTACATATTTTAGGAAATGTTTGATGAATTCCTAAAGAAGTATGAGTGCAACAAATCAAGAACAGACAAATTTCAAATATTCAAACTCATATCAATCAAAAAATAAATATTATAGTTGCAAGGTCACTTAAATTCAGCCAAATTTTAACAAACACTTTTGTTTCTTAGCAAAACATTTGTACTAGATCCTCTGCTCATGTCTTACATGAGTATTTTCATTTAGAAATTCTAGATCAAACCGGTAGTCAAATTCTTTATTAATGAAAAGGCTCCATTGTTATCTGAGCTTCAAAGGTTTACTTTCAAACTCTTGAAAATTATAACCAACTCAGTTTGAAAACTGTAATAACCAGTGTCATCAGTACAGAAGGTTCTGCTAACCAGGAATAGCGGCAGGAAATTAGTGATGTTATCTAATTGTGATGCAATGGCAATAATGATTTCACATGGGTTCAAAACATAAGGAAATGTTTCTTGATATTGCTTTGATACCGCTTTTCACAGTGACCTTCACCTTTTACTTGAGATCACTCAAAACCTCTTTAGGACCCAGGCTCATCTCCAAAATATCATAAGCCAAAAGACAAAGTGTACTCATACTGAAATTTTGACTTTTAAACACAATGAGTGAACCCACATGACACCAATCACCTGCATCATGTATATAAATACTGTATAATCTGTGTGTTGATACTACTATGATGACTACAATGATGATTAGGGACCGTTCATAATTTATGGCTAGAGGGGTGGTGGTTCCACCCATTTTGTTCTGGGGAGCTAGGAGGGGGATCAGCAATTTTGTAATTATGTTTAAAATTATACTTAGAAATTATGGGAAGCCGAGGGGTGGGTGGGTGTTCACTGATTTTGTACATGACCTGCAGGGGGGTCAATTATTTTGTACATAAATTTTAGGGGGTCATTCACATTGTACATTGTACTCCATAAAAATCATCATCAGCCCTCCTAGCCATAAATTATGAATGGTCCCTTTAATATTCATGTTAAACATGATTAACTCAACAATCATGGTCAAAGGTCAAGACACAAGACACATCACGCTGCTTATAGGCAATACTGATGAATTTTTTTCAATGACTGTACTCTACATTTCTCCAGATATGATATAAATCCTGTCTATTGTAGTATAATAATAAATTCATTTATATCACAATTGTTCCCAATGTTTACAGTTGGAAACTATTTTACCTACATGATCCCTTCCTGAAAGCCTAAATGTTTTCTATTCTTACTACTGATTGTTCTAAAGATTCTACAGAGATGAGCTGACAGTGGTAACATCATCACATTATCTACCTCTCTTCCCCTGAGGATCTGGAAAAGAAAAGACAAAACCTAAATGCATCACAAAGTCAACTAAACTTCAAACACCCTCTCTACGTTTGTAGAAAAATCACTTAGATGACTGGATAAGATAGGAAAACAAAACTAGGTCATGTATATGTGTCAGATAGTCTGTGACTGGATGAAAGACTCAATTTGATTATTGGGGATGTTTACTTTGAAGAGATAGCTAGATGATGACAATTCATGAAAATCCTACATCTTTGTTTGAGGTTTGAGGCAGCATAACCATGGGCGAGGACCACCAGCATTTGAAGATGGCTCAGATGAGCCAGGTTTCCCATCTACTTCACCAGGTGGCTTTGTAACAGCAGCAACCTGTTTACATGAAAACAACTCAACAAGTTGAACTCAACAAATGCCATCAGTATTCAGCAAAGAAACAATTACCACAACTTACACATATGAAAACCTTTATGCAATATAGAACCACAGTCAACTAAGGGCAGCGAGGCTTTTAGTCGTGGAAGCTTCAGTATATAACAGTGTCACTGCTACCAGCATATGTGCAGTTAAACACACTGAGTAAGTGACATTAAGGCAAAACCACTTTGAACAGTATTTTAATAGTCTCATAGCATGTCTGAATGATGTGGAAGGAAGACCTGAAGTATTTTAATGCTGGTCTCAGACATCTAAACTAATAGGCAGTAAAGGAAAGGTGTGGACAAACGTAGAAACATGGGTGAATCTCAGTCAAACATCATGTATACCTACGCCTCCCTGGTGTAGTGGTTAGAGCGTCCGCCCGAGAGCAGAAGGTCGTGGGTTCGATCCCCAACCGCCATACCAAAAAGGCTTAAAAAATATGGTACTTGTTGGTCCCTGTCTGGCGCTTCGGCATAATGGGTACATCAAGGACTGGTCGGCTCGAGTCAGTATAATGTGTCTGAGTGGGGTATTCATGCTTCACTGTGGCATGGTATCTCAGTGGGCTAGCACTATAAAACCAGCTTCAGTCTGGGCTAGTACAAGCAGCCGCACATACACATACACACGCATGCACGCCGCCATATGAGCGAAATATTCTCAAGCACTGACGTTAAACCAAATTTCACCTCACCTCACCTCATATATACCTAGTGTACATACATTTAAGCAGATAAACTTTACTTACACAGAAGTATGTTAACACCTCCAATAATGATGACAATGATGCTGAGAACGAGAGTTACAATAGCAAGAGGCTCATCCAGGCCTAGAATGTTAAAGACATGAAAATTGAACATAAATTCCTTTGAAACTGAGTGAATCATGTACTCATTGAATGAGGCATAAGGTACTTAGATTACCCTACATAATTCATGTTCAAAAGATAGATAGATATGCAACATGCCACTTATAAGCAGAACAGTCATTCTAACGAGTAATCTTAGAATCACAACTTGAACATGTAGGTCCCACACAGAAAGATGGCTACACAATAGTCTTAGTGCCAAGATCTGTTTAAATTAAGTGATTCCGATCATGTTTGCTATCATTTAATTGTACACCTGAAAAAGAAATAATTCAATTAAATAAACATGAGTGAGTATGGTTTTACGCCGCTTTTAGCAATATTCCAGCAATATCACTGGTAGGGGACACCAGCAATGGGCTTCACACATGGGGAGAATCAAACTGGGTCGAAACAATTGGATGCTTTAACCATTAGGGGCGTGGGGTAGTCTAGTGGTTAAAGCGTTGCGTCGCTACCGGAGACCCGGGTTCAATCCCTACATGGTACAATTAGTGAAGCCCATTTCTGGTGAGCGTGACATTGCTGGAATATTGCAAAAGTGGCGAAAACCAAACTCAGTCAGTCAGTCAGTTAACCATTAGGCTTCACCACTGCCCCTCGTAAACATGAAGATTTCTATGTTATACATGACTTAATAATAAGCCATGATGTAATGTAAGTCCTAAGTTCTGTAGATTGGGATAATAACTCCTCAACCTTAGATCTATTATGGAAGGCCAACAATGGACAATGACAACGCATATCATTCATGCCACAAGGCTTTGGAGAGCAAACATTTTACTTTACTGAAACAAAGTGACACTCAGTGGAACATGAACAATGTTTGCAAACCAGGGACATATTATAATACCAGAGAGCAAAAGCCTCTTCACTACTAGACTGCTATGACAAACAGAGCGACAAAATATACGTTACATTCAGTGTAGGCTGCTAAAGTGACAATAAAGAATATCACCCCAACGACACAATCAACGATCCCTTGAACGAAGCAACTCCAATACAAGACGTACACCTCTGAAAAGAGCATTATCAAAATCAATTTTCATCTGAAACATTCACAGTTGTAATAATGATAGACAGTAATATGAAAATCTTGAAAGTTCAGAAATATAATGATATTGTTTCTTTCAGAAATGGAGATGGAAACTTATTATTTCTTTAGTCAACTAGGAAGTCCTTGAAAGGCATTTATTACTCGCCAGTTGGAGATACCACTGTTTAATAATTTTACAATGTTATTACACATTGTTTAATAACATCGGAAGGTGTGCATGTATGACGCCAAAGTGGTTTACAGTTATGACGCCACAATGCTAATACCCCCTGTAACAATAGTATTAGATCTTGCCTGACTCAAGGAAGCTGAGAGTCATCTCATTCATTGAATTCTTAGAAAAGAAGTACTTTGCTTTCGATATGTTTTGCTAATGTTGGGTGGGTAATAAATAGAGAATACTAAACGATGTCCCGTGTAATACCATATTTATGAAACGAAAGTGAATGGTTTGGTATTTAACGAGCGAAAGTGAATATATCACTGTCTCATAATTTTACAATGTTATTACACATTGTGTGATGCCGCATATATGATGTCATGATGCATCTCCACCATCTGTTACCTGAGGGTGTCTGGGTGTTATACCCTTCTACCTAGGCAATCTGTCTATCCACTCTTGTTCTGGGATGATGTAGCTAAGATGGATAGTCAAAGATAAGTCCAGTATGTTGTTCAAGTCCTGTTATTTTGGAATGAATTCTCACACAAAGGTCCTCAGAAACTACCTAGTTCTCCTGAATTACACACAACATTTGATCACAAACTTTCTGGAAGAAGTTGTTGGTTTCTGTGTAGAACTCTTAATACTATCAGTTCATCTACATGCTTATTCTCTCAATATACAGAGAGAACCTCTTCCCTATATTCTACTTACTTTTGACACTGATCCCTTTGACTGAAACTGAAATATATAAATAAATAATTGACAAATTGACAATAGACTACATACAACATATGTTATATTTGGAATTACACTTCCTTAGTAAAGTACAAATTCTACAACTTTTTGGGGGTTGAGTCCCATCCAGGATTCGAACCCACACCCCTCAGAGTCAGGCACCAATCGCCAGCACACAAGTCAGCCGCCTAACCCACTCAGCCTACACAACCTCGAAAGTTGCATTTGACCACTTTCTAAATGGCACTGTGTAATAATAGATTACATAGGTATCTGTAATACGATTATGCCTAAATATATAATCATATATAAACAATAAACAATGTATTGGAGTTGATATGTCATACTCAAGGGTAATAATGCTGGTTTTTAAAAAGTCAAATTCAGCCAAAAAGTTTATTGTGAAGATAAATATTTCAAGATACATTCAGATGGTATATTTTAATACTACTTTTGTACATTTGTTGATTTGTTACACTTTCACAGCAATCAGAATGCAGGAATCTACAAAGTCATAAGTAATTAGTTAAATTGAAATAAAAAGCTAGCTATTGCTCATGTTCACAATTGTGTTGAGGAACCCTGGATAATATTTACCCAAAACATAAACAGTGAACACAGAAAATTTTGTGAAGGTCATACTTACAAAATCCTCCCCATCTATATAGAACTGAGGAAAGAAAAATAACATTTGCTACAGTCAGTTGCTTATAGAAGCTCAATTCTATTTTTTCACGCTTTTAGCAACATTGTGTGAAATATTTTATGTTGCATCAGCAATTTGTCTGACATGGTATCACCTAAAAATGCCACATTTTATGACATCTATTCAAATATGACCTAACAAAAGGTATTTTCTTTAAAACAATCCCAAATCAGTTTGGATTTCGACATTTGAGAATATCATTTGATTGTCTGTCAAACTTGGCTCATGCAAAGAAAGAGTTCATAAAGAGTTGCAAGAGTTCTCTAACAATAAATGACAATGAAAACATAGGATAGATGACCATGGACTATTCACACAGATAGTTGAACTGTATGTTGTTCACAAGGTCTGGGACAAAATGGCAAAGATTGTAAAGCAGACATCTTAATTGATGGACCACAGTAGATCATGAAGCTTCTCATCACTGTTGACAATTATTTTGTTAACTCAGCATAGTACACAAACTTTCATGCATGTCTATTGAGGACAGTGATATCCGCCATTAACCACCCTGTAAATGTGAAAGTATTGCTAGTTGCTTCTGTCTCTGATGTATCAGTTAAACATTCTACTGCTACTTACCGAATAGGACATCTGTGACTACTTTCACAACCAGTAAAATAGCCAAAATAATTACTGCAATAAGTGGAAATTCACACTCATCAGTTCCTGGAGCTGAAGAAAAAGATACTGGGTTAGAAGAAGGATTATCAACATACATGCAGCTTGCAATGTTTGGGTTCTGTGAAGTAACATGCCCAAAGCAATTTGTGCTTGACTAAAAAGTGTGTGGCTGTAAGAGTAACCTGCTCCAGATATCTCGAAACAAACTTCAGTCTGAGATCTCACTTAAGTTAGAGTTTTACTCAAATTTGAGAAAACACAGGAAAATGCATTTTCTAGAATAAACGGAAATTAATATTGGACTTAAACTTAGTAGACAAACTGAGTTTGGTAGATAGGTTACTTGAGTTGTTTTGGCTATTTGGGCTTAGAAATGCAATTGAGTTAGGAACTCAGCTGTTTCAACTTGTCAAACTCAGTTTGAAATTTGAGTAAAAACTTAACTTTCTTTCGAGAAAACAGATCCTGGTACTAAAATACAGTGAAATCAAAAACAATCAGCTGAGTACAGAAACAAAGAAGAGGGAAAAGATAACACAGCTTAAAACTGTGAACCATTACGTTCACTAATACCATGTGTTTAGCCATTAGTTTGAAACAGCTGAAATATATCTAATGCGTCTGTGAATCGTAACTCACTTGAAACAGCCAACATCTTGTCAGATCAAGTGAATTTTTCAATCGTAATTCATAATGCATTGAATGTAAAACGGTGGTTGTTAGTTTCAGCAATACAAATGTTAGAATGTCATATTACTTACCATGTATCAACTTTTGACCATAGATATTTTGCTCCACACATTGGTGTAAGTATCCTATGGAGCTCTGTGGCTCACCTACAGTCTCTTCTTACATATTCATATAACTTCATTAAGCAATCATCAACTATCTCTCAGAAGAGCTTTTCATGACAGCAGCACTTGGATCATCAAGTTCTGTAGTGTCTTGGTTGTTTATATATTTTGTTTACTGATCGGCATATTTGAAGATGATCAACAGAACTTGCAGCATAATGCACTGGGTAAGCATTACACATATCAACATCTGTACTTTCTTGCCACAATGGCCATACAGACGTCCAATATGTGACCCATCCATTAATCACATTGTGAATTCATATGTTCAAAATGAATTCAGTACACAACTCTTTCACTTAACTTGTGTAATGAAATATGTTAATCATGATGGTAGCAAACAGTATAATGGAGTTAAAGATTCTGCTGCAGATGGGGGTGAAGATTGCAACCAGGACATTTCTTCCTAACTTTATGTTTTGATGTTATAGTTTGAAGAATATCCTCCACAATGATCTTCAGTTTGACAGCAGCATGCCCCTACTCAGCTTTGGGGGCAAGGATGTGGCCTGGAGTGGGAAAGTCTAGCCTCAGGTCGAATTGGTTACCCGGTTACATGAGTATGAGCAAGATAACCAATAAAGAGCCAGTATTTTACTTGAGATAAGACACTTATCTCCATTACAGAAAGTCAAGACAGTGTACCTGGTCACGTGATTAGTGTGTAGTCTCAGCTTGGTGACATACCATTCAACCTCAACTGCCTGTTATGCCATAAAATGTTTTGCATTCACATGTACTCATCTCATCCTATTTCAGTCTGCCTCTCTTACATGATCACAAAGTATATGTGTGTACCATGGTTCAGTCCTATAATGATGGTCAGTGGCTGACCGTCAGCACTGACCCATGGTGTTGAACATGACTCGCTGATTCATCCCAGTAGCTAAGAACAGATATCCCTTGGTATACACTTCAAGCTCCATCTCTGTCTTTGGCAGGGTAACTGGTACCCATCCTGGCAGACTGTATAGAATATTTGACTTTTATACAATCTGTATATTGGCTTTGGTATTCAGTCATCTATTTAGGCAGTGTTTGGCATGGATCCCTCAGAGTGTTTACAGAAAAGTGATTATCAAAATCGTACACTTTTGCTCCAATAAAAACAGTCAAAATGCCATGAAGAACGCAATAGCTTGAAGCCTTTATTCAAGTTTAACTAGAGGTTAATAATAACAAAAAAATCAAAGTGATATACTGGTAAAATCACTAAAATGTACACTGCAAGGTTGGAGCCAAGTCTGGCAAGAGACCATACACTGTTAATTAATTAATTAATTTATTTGAAATTCCTTCAAATCAACAAATATTTTTATGATGTAGAGTAGGGATGGTTAAAAAGATTGCAACTTAAAAAAATCAGGTAAAAATTATCATTGATTATTGATATGAAAATTGTGTCATTGATCTTTACAAAAACTATTATGGTGAAATAAGTTTGAATTTACACACACAATACAAAAGGCAATATTCATCCACCACTTCTAAACTATGTTTAGAATATAACAACATATGGTAAGAATTTTGTATACATTATGAATATTTAGAATGCCTCTTTTTGTAATCAATGCATGAATGTGTCATGGGCTGCCAGTGACTTGAAATATGTTGATTTCTTTCAGACTTACTTCGCCAATATCCATCAATATTCAATAATTAGTTAATGATTATGGATCTCTATGATCTCCATTGATAGCCAGCCCGTGTGTAGAGGCATTCATGTCCCTTTGACAATTTTTCACACAGACAAAGCCTCCACACAAACCTCTTTTCCCCAAGTCCTAAAAAGTATACTGATAGTAGCACGACAATGGATCCAACCTTGCGTAGTTGTACAGCACATTCCTGCTTGAAGCATCCATATTGTTGCATACATGTGGGTAAGGCAATGAACAATAAATACAAATTGACTTCGCATAACATACAAATTTCGGACATCATAAACTAGTTTGTGATAGTTGTCATCATCTTTCTAATCAATTCTAACCACTAGATAGTTTACCTCTAAATTACTACCCTGGATACCATGATTATAAACCTTGGTCGCATATCTACTTAAAGTTGTCCAAATTAATCTCCTTATTTAATATTACAAAGTAAATACATCCACCAGAGACACATCAATTACTTAAAGTTGTCCAAATTAATCTTTTCCAGGTTTCTTCACAAGGTATGTATTTGCCAAAGTCTCAGTTCTCATCAAATTCACGAACAATATTGGAAATAATAGATTTATTGATACTATACATCTATAGGCATTATATTCTGATTTCTGCATCAAAGTTGACATGTAGATCAGGAGTTCTACTTTCTCAGTTTTCACACACAAATATCTTGACGTATGTATTGTTTAGCTGTAAAACGTGATCTAAAGTCGATAATCGATTATGGTTTAAGACGTCGATTCCCAACACTAATTGCACACACAAACTTAATGTGAATCATGATTGTCCTGTTTTTGATCATGAACGTGATCTGAACTCAGAATTCGATAATCTGACATCCTCGGTAATCCGACAATTTGCTGTGCAATGGACAATGTTGGATTAATGAGACTTGACTGTATTAAACAACTTGCTAAGGGGTACACTTATTGAAACCTTACAAAAAGGACTTAAATTTTCTTTTTAGTGAACAACCATCTTAAAATATAATAGTTACATGCCAATTCTATGCTAATGTTTTCTGTAAAACAATCTGTTATTTACTCAATACAATATGGATAGTTGTGTTAATTCCTCATTTAGCAGAGGTACTTTCACATGAAGTAGTAGGACATTGTTATTGGAGCAGGCATTCAATTTGACAAATACAGCCATCAAATACTTGCCTTAAAGCACACGTTCTTATATACCATATTGTACCACCAAAACAACTCAGAAAACTTCACATCATCCAAATACATTAAACACTAAAACTGGTTAACTGGAATATACACTCAGCACTGTATAACTATGGGTTAATGCATCAGTCTACATGTACTTTTTTCATATAATCAGGCACTATCTAAAGCTTGGTACATGGATTATGACAAAACATATTGCACAACTGATTGTATACCATTATTGAGCAAGCTGTAATCTTCACATTACAATATGAAGAATATTCACTGTTTCATGGTATGCAAAAACCTCAGAAAGATAACTAACTTGTGTATAAATGAAAATAGTATACAGAGTGGCACTGCTGTAGTGAATTAATACCAGTACACACAAATCTCATATTGAATTTCTTGATTTTATGAAACATTCTCAGCTGATTTCTCCTAAATCCAGGATAAATTATTAACCATTATCCAACTTTTGAAAAACATTATGCTTTATCTATTGAAGGGAAAACATGACATTATCTTGTGTACAGTGTTCAGTCCCGTCCACTCACGTAAAATACAGCTTTGATATGTTACCAAAATGAAAAACACAATATAGTGAGCATGTGAGCACGTCTACTGTAAGTATGTAAGTAATATTGTTATTACACATCTGGTTATAAAAAGTGTTCACCGTGTATATACATATGTCAACATACTGTTTTTGCAATAGATAGGACAGAATGAGAAGCATCATCATATGGTGTCTCATCAAACTGTTCAATACACTAAATATATCTGCTAGTTGATGGTTATTATTATTATTATTGATATTATGAAGGAAGCTGTGACTAAAATAGCACACTATTGGAATGTACTATTTCTGGTAAAATAGCTAAGATAACTTTCTTCTGATCATTGGATCAAAACATGTCTAAGTTATATAATTCAGCATTTTTACAAATCACCGGTAAATCTGGATCAAAATGTGTGAACAGTTGATTGTTGCTCCACACTGACGAAAACACATGGTTATCTTGACGTGACAAAGAATCAAAATATGATGTGCTGAGGCAGGTTTTTAAAACAGTCTAAACAGAGTGTAACATGCTGCATTAATAAAATACCATCACTGTGTTTAAAAGTGAAAAAATTAAAAGTAACAATTCATAAACCGCAAAAAGCCCCAGTACCCAGTGATGAAGATTATACATCAGGTTACCCTTAGTGATACTGTGTAAAACAAGTGAGGAATGACAACAGTTTCTACTACTACAACAAACAACCTGGATAAACCAGGAAACTGTACCTCAGTGGCATTAATCTAATTTCATTGCTACTGCAACTTGAGAGCCTACTCATGTTTTGGAGAAAGAATAATAAAT